CTGCTATTCCTGATCCTACCTACCTCAACCCCCAAGGCACAGAAAACCCTTTTGACACATCTCCTGACCGCAGCCAACTTGCTCATCCCGGTAAAATGAAAAAATCCTGAACTCCCCACAATCAGGGAATGGGTAACCAAAGTAGAATCAATCAAAACCATGGAAGAGATCCATGCCTCCATCACGCACAGATACACACTCTTCATGGACACATGGGACCCCTGGGTGAGATTCCTGACAGGAGACCATATCTGATCCCCTGAAATGCGCAACCTCTCGCACGGAGCTCCCACACCGAAAAGGCCCCTGGGCACATAAGTAAGCAAAGACACCAAGAGCACACAATCACCCACAATGATCTGGCTGAGCGACCACACTAACACACAGACTAAGGGACAACCAAAACAGCGACATATCACATATACCGACAGGGGACCTGCACCAAGACTGACCATAGCCGAGATAGAAATGACACATACACAAACAGGCAGAAAGGGGAGGACAACTCAAAACACCATGCCACTTCATGACACTACACTCATTAACATTCACAGCGCAAATCTAGAACACCCTCCCTGAGTCAACGACAGGGCCAGGTTGAGAACAAGGTCCAGTCTTGGTCTACACCATGTTACGAGTCTCAATATGCTGTTTCAGCCTCTGGAGCTCTGCTGACAAATGTAGGCTTCCTGCTATACTCTACCTACTTAACATCGCATTTACCCTAAAATGTACCTATCTAAAAATGTATTATACTAACAAAATGTCATGGTCACCTTGATGTAACTGAACGCCCCCCCCTTCCCTTCTCCCCTTATATACCCCCCTTCCCTTCTCCCCTTATATACCCCCCCCCGACCCGATTGTGACCAGTCATCTACTACGTTTAATCCATGTTATCGGACTTACCACTGTTATGAAGGCAAAGTATATGTTCCCTGTATCTGTACTCACTACTAACGCAAACCATTACTGCCAATATATTTAATGTTTTAGCAAACTGTAAATGTGATGGCATCGCCAAGCTCATCACCAAACACTTTGTGACCTCATCGCCTAATTAAAAACAAAATTGTGCTAAGCCGAATGTATACCCCACTGTAACTAATGTATGAAGCGCATGGGGATTGCCTTTGGGGTACCCCATGCAATGTTTGTTATCACATATGCACTGCAAAAAAAAAAAAAAAAAAAGAATATATAGATTCCTTTTCAGGAAGTGTTTAGGAAAGCTGTGCAAGTCACATGCAGAGAGGAGTGACAAGAACGTTATAAACAAAGTAATTTAGCTCCTAAATTGCAGAGAATTGAGCAGTAAGGCTGCAGGGGCATGTTATATACACACAATAACTGCTTTATTTAGCTAAAATTGTTTTGGTGCCTATAGTGCCCCTTTAACTTTGTATCTATATATAACTATTTGTATTACTTTCCCTTGCTACTTTGGGCTCTAAGTTTCATGCTTCCATATTGATCTACATTTGATATAGAAAACTCACTCTCCCAATATAAATGATTTGAAGAAAAGAAAAAAAGAAAACACTTCAATATGAAGTGAAATAAGTAAATCTCCTTACAGATAACCTACCTGGCGTTGGAGGCACACTTCCAACATAAAGAACAGTACCGTATTCTCCATCACAAACAATGCGTCTACCAATAGCATCATTAGGGACAGTATCAATCATTCTCTTCAGCTTCTGGACACTAGAAGGACCAAAACATAGAAATGTTTAAACAAAGGAGTAAAAAGAGGAAAAAAAAAAAAAAATGCAGGACAAATCTGATTATTATATATATATATATATATATATATATATATATATA